CATCAGGGGAAAACCCATCGACCAAGGAATGAAGCTCTCATAGTGGAACTTCAACACTGGGGAGATTGGGATGGGAACTTTTGTGTACAGTGTGTACTTATCTGAGGGTCAGATGTCTGTCTTCTTGCATGAATGGTATAAATCACTTCAGCAGACATAGAAATAGCTCAGACTCTAAAAAGTCAAACCTTAGCAGGTTAAGGGACAACCTCACTTCTGTGGAAAGGGCTACCTGGGGAAGGGAAGGAAGACAACTTACCTGGCTGCAGGATTGTTCCTGAGGGAGGGTCAATGGCCACCCATCCAAAGAATAGCATCCAGAGGTATGTCAGCAACCCCTCCCTGGAGCCAGCCAGCCTGGAAGGGAGGGCTGCCATGGGCATTGAACAGAAGCAGCATTAAGTCATGGCCATGACCCTGTTCTAACCAAAAACAAAACCAATGGAAGGTCTTCTGGCCACTGACATGCAGAACATGGGAAATAGCTTTTGGAGGTCTCTATCTAGAGTCCCTAACTAGAGGCCTGAGCAGCGGGACTGGGCTCTAGGTATAGCCCTGGGTGCCCCGGTGTCCTGGACTCCCTCAGGCACAGCATACCTACCAAGATGAATTCTCCTTGCCCCTCATTGGCGAGACAAGTCTTTCCAGGTGCTCTGCTCTGGGCAGCACCAGATCAGGGGAGCTGATCTGGTTACTGAGGCAGGACAGGCAGGGCCATGGTGGGGTGAGAGTGAGGTCAGGGATGAGACAAGCATCTATGGGTGTGAACAACAAGTGAAAATGGACAACTGTCATTTGTCTTAAAAATATTTTTTCTGCCCTAACTAGTTTGGCTCAGTGGATAGAGCATTGGCCTGCGGACTGAAGGGTCCCAAGTTCAATTCTGGTCAAGGGCATATACCTCAGTTGCGGGCACATCCCCAGTAGGGGGTGTGCAGGAGGCAGCTGATTGATGTTTCTCTTTCATTGATGTTTCTAACTCTATCCCTCTCCCTTCCTCTCTGTAAAAAAAATCAATAAAATATATTTTTAAAATATTTTTTCTATGATTAACTGTTTGAAGACCTTGATCCCCAGGATTTTTGGGGTAGAAAGTTGCCCCTGTTTGTAAGGTATTAACAACTTCACATTCCTCCTTTAGTAGTTCGTTAGAACCTGTTCCCCGGGTGTTAGCTGGGGGCCCTTGGTCTCTTTGCACTTGGGATTGAATTGCCTTGAATCCACCAGTTCCTGTCCTGGGCAACACCATACCCCTCCCACATGCCTGGGGTGTGATATTCTTCAGGCTTCTTCTGTCTCTTGGGCTCACCTTGCACTCCCTCCACTGGGCCTCCCCGGCTAACCCTCAGCAAAGGGATTTTTCATTTCCTCTCTCAAGGGAATTTTGACCTCAGTTATAAGGACAATGAAGCTTTCTTTAGCTTTTTATGGCCATAATTTGCTTTTAAAACAAAAATCCATTTCAAGTTCATTTTATAGAATTTCCCAGCAGTCCTTAAAACAAACCCACACCTAATGGTGCTGCGAAAGCAGGCACAAGAGTCATATGTGTCATCTCTGTGTGTTCCAGTTTCCACCCAGACGTCTGAAATCCTGTAGATGTGGACGGCGTCGCTGAGAGCCGAGCAGGGCGCACAGGCTGACTGCTGAGAAGACGCAGCCTGAGCCGAGGCGGGACCAGCCTCCCTGGTAATTGGGTAATTAGTCAGTGGCTTTTGGTGGTGATGAGGGCAGGACTCACTCTTAGCTGGGGGCTATCTGATCAGCCTGAGCTTCCAGACACTCAGGTCCTTGCGTGAACTCCCCCAATCCTGCTCACTCAAGAGCTACCACGGAATCTGATGGACCTTAGAGGTCACTAGGCCGACCTGCAGCCAGGGCAGAAGCCCCTCTATAGCGTCCAGAGTCACCAAGAAGCCTATCCCATCATCCCATCATCCCATCACTGAGCAACTCCTGCTGGTGGGAAGTGCTCCCTCTCGCCCTCAGCTGGAACCTGCCTGCCTGCCTGGAGCAGCCACTGGCTTTTCTAGTTCTGGCTCCTGAGGCTGCAAGGAATCAGCTTAAATTTCTTCCTCCTGGCAGCCCAGCAGGTGCCTGGGACATTGGAGTGGAGGAGTGCGGATCTGGAGCCAGAGGCAGGCCTGGTTGAAACCCAGGCTCCACCGTTATCTCTGTGATCTCTGGGCAAGTTAGTTAACCTCTCTGACTCAGTTTCTTTACCTTTGAAACTGGGACAATGACGTCTGTCTCATAGAGTGGCTCTGGGAATGAAAATCAGTCATGACTAGAAGTGGCCTGGTGCCTTTTTGACACCAGTTATCTGACACTCACTGGGCATCCCACAAAGCCACCCAGTTCTCACACTCCAAGGTAACTGCACAGCTAAAGGGCAAGGCTGCCCACGAGATGGCCCCTGCTTCAGAGGCCACCCACACTTCTGACTAGGATGTAAATTTGGGGGTGTCCATATCGCCCCTTTAGTTTCTAGAATGCAGTAGAACAATTACAGAATTCACCGAAGGCACTGTGATTCTGATGACAGTTTTTGTATAAGGGATCCAGCTCAGGAACAGCAAATGGAAGCGAGGCACAAGGGCAGGCTCTGTGGCTTGGCGATGTGGTGCAGAGCCTCGTACCCTCTCCTTGTGGAATTCGGTGTCTCACCAGCCCAGCCCAGCCATGTGCTCACCAACCAGGAAGCCTGTGCCCAGAGATTTTTAATGGGGGGCAGGGTCAATATTGGGGAAGGGGGCTTTATAAGGCATAATGGTTTAAATTGTTTGCCACTTGGTTGAATTCAACCTCCAGCTCCTCCCCCTCCCTCCCTCCCTGTGTGGTTGGGGCTGAAGTTGCAACACTCCGATAAAGGGTTTGATTTTTTCCTGGTGGCCAGTCCCTCCCTTGAAACTAACGGCCCCTATAAGTCACTGCATGAGCATAAACTCAGGTTTGGTGAAAGGGGCTCATTATGAATAACAGAAGACGTTCCCAATGTCTTTGGACATTTCAGAAGTCCACAGGGTTTTGAAGCTCTGTCCCAGAAACTGGGGCAAACACCAGATATACTGCCTGTACAACAAATGCTGGCTTCTCCGATCTTCAGCATCCTGCTCACTCTTCCCTCTGATCTCCAGGTGGACATGACCCTTTGTCTGGTCAGAAAATTAGGCATCCTCACCAGTCTTTTCTTTGTGCTCTTTTGTTGTTGTTGTTCACATAGCTCAAGATTGAATTATTTTTAGACTAAAACATATAATTACAGTTTATTTAGTGTGCACCGGTTTACACTCAAATCACAGCCTCTCATTACCCGAGTTCTTAATGCTACGGTGTGATATAGTCTCCGAATGAATGCTTCATTCCACTCGCTGTGCACCAGACACTATTTCAAGTATGTGTTTCATATACATTAACCAATCTAATCCCCACACAACATAAAGCTGCAGCCACGTAGTTGCAATCCCCGTTTTATCTATGGGGAAACAAGCACACGGAGGCGAGGCCATTTGCCCAAGATCACACAGCTGATAACCGGCAGAGCTGGAATCCGAACTCCAGAGTCCAGGCTTTTAACCACTAAGCCACTCTGCACACAACTCTGATCACCAAGGGAGGAGCATAAGAGGATACCTCTGGTTCACTAAGCCAAAGGGTTTGGGCAGGCCCCTGTTGTCATGGTGAGAGTCGGCGCTTCCATTTCCTACCCCACACCCACGAGAGCACCGCTGGGCTGAGCTCTGAAGGGGAAGGCAGGCCTGGGGGCAGGGTGGTACGGGCCATTGTGCTTGGTGCTTCAGGGAGCGGAGAGCTACTCCAGAGCCTCTCAGACCCATGCCTGGGGACTGCAGCCACTCCGAAGGGGAGCCCAGAGAATCAGCCTTTCCTGCCAGGAAGGAAAGGATCCAGGCCAGGAAGGATCCGGACTAGTCTGTGCTGGTCCAAATCCTAGTCCCAGAGAAGCAGAGTTCAGGTGGTTCTGCAGCTGGTGGGACCCGCAGTCATAGGAGCCCAGAGGTCTCTAGGTTCACATCCAATGCACCTGCTGGTGGGGCAGTTGCTTGTTGCCATTTTTAAAAAAGGACCTGAGGCTGTGAAAGGCCCAATGAGTATTAAAAGGGGTGGGGTGCAGAGAGTGATGCCTCTGGAAGAATTTTGATCTGCAGTGCTGTCTGCCCAGAAGAATTGAGTGGTGACTGCCTGTCTGCGTGGCTCTGATGCGTTCCCATTATGTCTGACCTTGCAGTGTCCTCTTACGCCCCAAGTTCCAGGGATGAGGCTAAGGGGAAAGATTCTTAACTCACCCCACCACCTGGGATTGGCTTGAACCCACAAGACAACTGTCAGTAGATCATCTGTGTTCTTTGCAGATGTTTCTCTTCGGGCCTTTGGCTTGAGGGAGAGGCTCTGGGGTGGTGCTGGAGGGAGATGCAGGAAGAAGGTCTTTTGCTCCAGGAACCCTGCATCCTCCGTCCTTTACAGAGGCCAGGGCAAGCCAACGCTGTGCAGAAAGGCATTCCCGCCTTTCCACCTTCCTCCTCTCTTTTCAGTTTTCTTTTGTGAATTTCCCGCCAACATTGTTTAGGAGGCGTCTTAGGGGCTTGACATTTTAGATGCAGTACTAATTCCCTGTAAATAGCCTTCCTCTGTGTAAGGTGGGCATCACAGAAACCCTCACCGGCACTGCCTACTTCAACCAGAGGCTGGCCATGCAAGGCTGGCGGGTTAGTCAGGGAGGGCGGTGGACCCCTGGGCGGGTGCCTTATCTTCCCTTAGGCCAGTGATGCAGTAGCACCCCCTAAAAACGGGCCCTTGTCGGCGGGCGTGTCCCGCCCTCTAACCCGGGCCCCGCCTGCAGCCTCCTGGGAATCACTGTATCCCACTGTGAATTCTGCTTTCGGACACGCGTACCCCTGTACAGCCCTGCTGGGAGCTCCAACCTGCCCGCCCTCCTCCCTTCTCCGCAGGGCTCCAGGGGCGGAGTGTGAACCCACAGGACCATGAGTGAGGAGCCGGCGCCCGAGGCCGCCTCCCCGCCGCCCCCGCAGGGCCAGCACTACTTTGACCGCTTCTCCGAGGACGACCCCGAGTACCTGCGCCTTCGCAACCGCGCGGCCGGCCTGCGGCAGGACTTCAACCTGATGGAGCAGAAGAAGCGCGTGACCATGATCCTGCAGAGCCCGGTGAGTGCCCATGACCCTGCAGAGCCCGGTGAGTGCCCATGACCCTGCAGAGCCCGGTGAGTGACCATGACCCTGCAGAGTCCGGTGAGTGACCGTGACCCTGCAGAGCCCGGTGAGTGACCATGACCCTGCAGAGTCCGGTGAGTGACCGTGACCCTGCAGAGCCCAGAGTGGGGCCTGGCCCAGGCAGCCCTGCGGAGGGACAAGGCGGTGGTGCTGATGCGTCCTGGTCAGTGGTCCGCAAACTGAGGCTCACGAGCCACGGTTTGCCGCTCTGTTGACTCATGAGTTTGCCGACCACTAGTCTGGGTGAACAACCTGAAAGAGAATTCCTCTTTCACTCGCTCAGGGTCCTAGCAGGTGCAAGCTGAGCTAGACGAGGGTGTTGGATTCTCTCTGGACACTGGTGGATGGCAAATCCTGGTTTATGGGCAGGTGGTAAGGTTCGGTGAGTCGGAGAGACAAGAGCCCCACCCCGGTTTGCAGCGACCCTTCTGAGCCTCAGTTTCCAGTCTTCCTTCCCCACCAAAAGCTGTTAACAGTGAACAAATGTGCGTAAACTGGAGGCCAGCAGAGGGCGCCACGTGGAAGACTTGGGACTCCCCTCCCTGAACACCAGAAAGGACTCACTGTTGGGGCAAAAGGCTGACAGGCCTGGAGCAGGGGTGAAGAGAGCCGGGAGAAGGGCCAGGAAGTGAGGGGATTATTATTGAGAATTCAGGGGATTATGGGACAGGGGCCCCAGAAGGGAGAGCAAGTCAGGATCATCCCACCAAAAGCTCTGGAGGAGGTCAGTTGGTATCTGCCTAGCATGGACCCAGCTCATCCTTGAGGCTAGGACATAATGTGGGCCTAATGGACCACTGAAGTGGGACGGGGGCACACGCTCTTGGGCGGGGGGGAGGAAAAGCATGGGAGTCTGAGGGTGGTAGAGCTGAGGGATCCTCAGAAAACAGTGCATGATCCCAAGGGCTGGGAAGCTCAGAGATGGAGCTGGTATCTCCAGGTGCTTGCCAGGATGGGCTCTGCCTCAGCCCCCACTGCTCTGGGGAGCCAGGGCATTACACGGGCCACGTGGGACCCCAGCTGAGAGCACACAGTGAATGCTCAGGCCTCACAGAGGAGCATCGAGGGATGGGCCTGAGGTCTTGGTGACAGGTGACACTGTGCTGGGGAGCCTGAGGGAATATGGCAGGTGCTAAAAGCATAGGAGAAGGGTTGTAGTGACACAAGGGAGAACCTGGTGGAAAAACCCCGCAGTGTGACGAGGGTGGCAGGTGTGGGAGGAGAAGGAGCCATTTCCAGCCTGAGAGGATGGGACGCTATTCTCAGGCCGGAGATGGGGATGGGAGGAGCTCAGGCTGCTTCCCTCCTTTTATAGCTTCACCAACACGACTGTTCCCTGCTGCCACCTGGTGGACAGACATGCCTTGTTCATAGCCGGAGGGTTCTGAAAAGCCAGGCTTAGAGTACTGTAGGGGGAAACCGGAAGTGGAGAACTCAGAAGTCCATCAAATCCTTCCGAAACCGAGAGAATTTGATGATTCAAAAAATCCATAGGCATCGCTAGTGGAAGATGGGCATGCTTTTCCATTCGGTTCTGCTTTTTAAAATGCCTTAGTTACTAAAGTGAAATCCTGCCAACCTTGACTGTCACTTAGACACAGGAAGTTACCTGGAATCCGGAGTATTGCCCCCAGGTCAAAGTGAGCAGGATCCATTCTCAGCATCTCCTTGTTGCTCTCCCCAAGAGCAGTTTGGGGGGATCCTAAATCCCAGGGAAATTGCCCAATGTCTTCCTTCTGGGGCCCCAAAATCCCAAGTGTGGCCCTCGCCTTGCTGACCTGGGGTGGGGTGGGCACGTGGAAGAGGGTTCCTTGCCTGCTGCCTGAGATGCCTCTGGGCCTGCCTTTAGTCTTTCAGGGAGGAGCTGGAAGGCCTCATCCAGGAGCAGATGAAGAAGGGGAACAATTCCTCCAACATCTGGGCCCTGCGGCAGATCGCGGACTTCATGGCCAGCACCTCCCACGCAGTCTTCCCAACATCTTCCATGAGTATGTGGGGAGCAGGGGAGCTGCCAGGAGCAGCGGGCTGGGGAAGGGGGATGAGGATGAGAGAAAGGAGCAGCAAGAAGCAGCTTGGTTGCCAGGCTACGGGGTGAGTGTGGCAGTTGCATTAGTAGGCCTGGGGGAGCTGAGCAGCAGCCAGAGAGATACCTGGCTCTGCTTCTGATGCTGCTGTGATTTAAAGACCCACAGGAGAATTATCCCTGATGCCCAGAAATAGGAGGGGGGTTGTAGTGACTCACGGAAGAATGTGGTTCTAGTTCTTCTGAGGGGAAGAGATGTGATAATACGATGTCTCTTCTCTGAGAGGCAGGGCAGGCTATATAAGGGCCTCCCCCCATCCCACCTTATCAGTGGATTAGCATGAAGGGAACAGCTTTGCATTTCAGGGCTCCTTACATGGCCCCTACTTGAAGGCCCAGGAGTAGAGAGTGGAGAGCGAGGATTCTGCTCCCTGAGAACTTGAGCTCTGCGTACAGAACCAAAGAAAAATCTTTCTATGCTAGCAGCTTCCCCTGACTCAGGCTGCTCTTCCCTAATCCCATGGAGCCACTCCCTTGGAGATGGAGTGGAAGGATGGGAGGAGGCCATTGAGCACGGTGTCTCCAGGCCCTAAGGGAAAGGCCAATCTGACTCGATAGACCAGGGCCAGCAGCAGCCAGGGCTGGGCATGAATCCATCTTCCTGGGCTCTGAAACAAACATCAAAAAATACTTCCTCTCAAGATGAATACATGATTATGGTGGAAAATTGGGAAATATTTAAGAAAGAGGAATTGCTGTCCTGTGTTTTTACAAGGAAACTACTATTTTATACACACACACACACACACACACACACACACATATATATATACTAGTGGCCCAGGGCACAAAAATTTGTGCACAGGGGCAGTGCGGGGGGGGGGGGGGCTGGCAGGTGGGGTGTCCCTCAGCCTATGCTGGCACCCTCTCCAATCTGGGACCCCTCGGGGGATGTCCAACTGCAGGTTTAGGCCCAATCCCTGTGGACATCTCTCTCACAATTCAGGATTGCTGGCTCCTAACCACTCACCTGCCTACCAGGCTGCTCCCCTCCAACTGCCCCCCCCCCTTGCTGGCCTGCTCACCCCCAACTGGCCTCCCCTGCTGGCCTGATCACCCCTAACCACCTCTGCCTCAGCCCCGTCTCTATTGCTTTCTTTGGAAGGTCTCCCGGTCAAATTAGCATATTACCCTTTAAAAAAAAAAAAAATATATATATATATTTTTTTTTTTAATTGATTTTTTACAGAGAGGAAGAGAGAGGGATAGAGAGCTAGAAACATCGATGAGAGAGAGTCATCGATCAGCTGCCTCTTGCACACCCCCTACTGGGGATGTGCCCGCAACCAAGGTACATGCTCTTGACCGGAATCGAACCCGGCACCTTTCAGTCCGCAAGTTGACGCTCTATCCACTGAGCCAAACCAGCCTCGGCAGCATATTATCCTTTTATTATTATAGATATCCTTTCAGCCTTTTCTCTTAACATATATAGAATATGCAAACAAAAAATGGAATTATATTAACCATACACATTTAATAGCCTTAACATGCCTTGACTAATTTTCACATAATAAATTATGGTTCTATAATGTAATTTTGAGTAGATGAATGCTATTTTATGGTGTGGCTAAATATAACATAGTTTAGTTTCCCATTTTTTGAATGTTTAGGTTGTTTCCAACTTTTTGCTATTATGAGCACCAATGCAACATACAACCTTATAAATAAATCTGATTACATCTTTGATTCTTTTCTTAAGATAAAGCACTAGGAGTTGGGTTGCTAGATTGAAGTATATGCATGTTTTATAGACTTTAATGCATAATGCCAAATTACCCTGGAGAAAGATGGAACCAATTTTCATTCCCTGCAGCCATGCACTAGAGTGCCCATTTACTCCACTCTGACCCACAGTGTGTATTACCATGTGTTTCATCCTCATGATTTGACAGATGATGGAAAATCCTTTATTTGTGTTTTAATGTGCAATTACTAACGATGTTGGATGTATTTTCATACACTTATTGAACATGATTTTTCCGTTTGTAGTAAATTAATTGTCACATCCTTTGCCAATTTTACTACTCATGTATTCTTTTCTAATAGATTTTCAAATCTTTATAAAGTAAGACTATTTCTCTATTATCTGTCAAACACATTGCAGGTTTTTTTTTTCCAGTGTCTTGCTTGCTTTTTAATTTTGTTTAATATGTTTTTGTCCTGTTGAGCACTTTAATTTCCATGTAGTTGAATCCATTGTTATTTTCCTTAGTTTTCTGCTTTTGATTGCATGCTTAGAACACCTTCCTATGGTTTATCATTTAGTAAAATTAATTACTCATTTGCCAATTTTTTTCAACTATTTGTATCAGTTGATTCTTTAAAATAATTTTAGAAGTATTTGTCAAGTCTCCCCTTCATCTCAAAATTTTCTCTTGGGATGTTGATTAAATACTTTAAATGGATAGATTAAATTGGTGGAGAATTTTTAAACTTATAATTTTTAAACTTATAATGTTAGAATGTAATCTCCACGGGGGGGGGGGGGGAATACTAGTATTTGGATGTCTTATTCCCTGATTGTCCTAGAACATAAGGTCCTGACTTAGGTACATTTCTAAACATAGCAGGTGCATGAAAAATATTTGCATGGCTCAGCCAGTATTGCTCAGTGGTTGAGCAATGACCTATGCATCAAGAGGTCACCAGTTTGGTACATGCCGAGGTTGCAGGCTCTATTCATAGTAGGGAGTATGTAGGAAGCGGCCAGTTGATGTTTCTCTCTCATCAATGTTTGTTTGTTTGTTTCTTTCTTTCTTTCTTTCTTTTAAATATATTCTATTGATTTTTACAGAGATAAAGGGAGAGAGAGAGAGAAAGCTAGAAACATCGATAAGAGAAACATCGACCAGCTGCCTCTTGCACACTCCCTACCGGGGATGTGCCCGCAACCAATGTACATGCCATTGACTGGAATCGAACCTGGGACCTTTCAGTCCGCAGACTGACGCTCTACCACTGAGCTAAACCGGTATCGGCTCTCATCAATGTTTCTATTTCTCTCTCCTTTCCTCTCTCTCTAAAATCAATTTTAAAAACCCTTAAAAATATTTGCATGAATGAATTTTATTTTATTATTATTTTTTAATATATCTTATTGATTTTATACAGAGAGGAAAGGAGAGAGATAGAGAGTTAGAAACATCGATGAGAGAGAGTCATCGATCAGCTGCCTCTTGCACAACCCCTACTGGGGATATGCCCGCAACCAAGGTACATGCCCTTGACCGGAATCGAACCCGGGATCTTTCAGTCCCCAAGCCGAAGCTCTATCCATTGTGCCAAACCGGTTTCGGCTGCATGAATGAATTTTAAATTTTATCATAGATGATATATGCCTTCTATCTATTTACTTTATCTTTAATGTGCATCAAAAATGTTTAGGAATTATTTTCATATAGTTGCTATTAATTTTTTGTTAAGTTTATCCTGACAATTTTATGTATCTTTGTTATTTCAAAAGATCCTCCATTTAATTTTCTTTCTGTTTTTTGCTGTATCCAGAGGAATAATTGTAGAATATATATATATTAAACTAGCACCTTATCAAATTCTTAAATTTTAGTATCATCTCATTCAATTTTTGGGTTTTGTATATAGAAAAATCATATAATTTGCAAGTAAAGGTTGTTTTGCATCCTTCATTCCAACATCTACTCTTTGGTTGATATTTCCAGTTTTTTTCATTGCATCTGTTAGAGTTCTCAGAAGATGTTCAGTAATAGGTTAGAGAGTAATCATTCTGGTCTTGTTTCAGACTTAAATGGAAATTCTTTTACCACAAGAGCTTGAGATGATTGTTCTTTATTATGTTCAGGAAATATATTTTTATTCTGGTTTGATCGGGTTTTTCTCAGCAATGGATGTAGAGTTTTATACATTGTGAGCATTTATTGATTTTCCTTTCCTTGAACTATGGATGAGATGAATTATATTAATAGATTTCTGTATATTGAACTCCTTTTTTATTCCTAAAATAAATCATACCTGGTCTTGATATATTCTTTTAAAAAGACTCTTCTGGATTTGATTCGTTGGACTTTTATCAAGGATTTTTGCATCCATATTCATGCATGAGATTAGTCAGCAATTCACTTTTTGGGCAATCTTTATTTTCTTTGACCTAATGGAGATAGGAAGTTTCATTTTTTGAATAGTTATTATTCTCTTGGAAAGCCATCTAATCTGAAATATTTTTACTGACTTTTTATTTCTATTTCATCTGTGATTTTTTAAAAAATCTATTTGGTTCTTGAGTAGATTTTGATCTTATATTTTGTATAAAATAATCCATTTTGTGGAGCTTTTCAAAATTATTAGCGTGATTTACAACATTATTTTTATCATTTAAACTTTCCGCTGTGAATAAGATGACTCCCATTCTTATTTCTTGTGCTGTGTATTAACACTTTCTCTTTATTGGCCAATCCAGATATTGGTTTATTCATAGATCTTCTCACATAAGCCAATTCTTGGATTTCATATTGGTTCTACTAATTTTCTTGTTCCCAGTTTATTGCTTCTGTTTTTATGTTCAGTAATTCTTTTCCATAATTTTCTTTTAGTTTATTTTGTTGTTTATATTTTTTCTAGAGAAGAATAAAATGGATGATTTATTTTCATATTTAATCCAATAATAAAGATATTTAAGGCTATGAATTCTTTTTCTCTGAATATAAGTTTGGCCTTATCCCATAAATTTTGGCACATTGTATTTCCTTTATTGCTAATTTCTAGGTAGGAGATTACTATTATAATTTTATTTTTATTCAAAGAGCTCTCTAGAAGTGTATTTTCTCATTTTCAGATGGTTGAATTTGTATTCTTTTAAAGATTTGATAATGTCATATTACATTATGTTTAGAAAATGTGGCCTATTTAATGTCTGTATTGGGGATTTATTAAGATTTTATTTGTGGCCTAATAATATGATTTAAAAATGATATATGGGCCCTGACCAGTGTGTCTCAGTGAATAGAGCATTGGGCTGTGGACTGAAAGGTTTCGGTTCAATTCCAGTCAAAGGCCTTGGTTGCAGGCTCGATCCCCAATAGGGAGCATACAGGAGGCAGCTGATTGATGTTTCTCTCTCATCAATGTTTCTAACTCTCTAGCTTCTCCCTTCCTTTCTGTAAAAAGTGAATAAAAATATTTTTTAAAAATGGTATATGTGTATAGACTCATCTCTAGGGCATAGTATTTAATCTATATCTTCACTTATTGTTTTTAATTTTGTAATAAATGAGAGTTGTGTTGCCTTTCACTGTATTTGAATTTTGTTCATTACTATTTGTTTTTCTGATAGCTTTTGCTTTGGACATCTTGATGAAATGTTATTGAAGGCATGAGTGTTCTTTATAGCTATAGCCTCATTTTGGATTAAACCTTTATATGTAAAATGATTTACAAAATAGTCCTCTGTCCAAAAGATTTGTTTCCCCTTGACTTGTACTTTCAAAATAATAGTATGACCTCTCTTTAATTCTTGTTTATATTTGCCTGGCATACTTCTAATGATTCTTTTCTTTTAACCAGTTTTATGCTACTTTATTTTTGTATTTGTTTTTTGCAGACCTCCTATGACGTTGTCTTCTGGCATCTATTGCTATAGTAGAGAAATCTGAAACAACCTATTTTTTTGTTCTTTTGTAGGCAACCAGAATTTTTTTCTAGATGTATGTGGATTTTCCCCTTATCTTGGTATTCCAGAAATGTTGTCAGGAAGCATATAATTGTAGGCTGCTGCTTCTTCTTTTTTTTAGTCCTCACCAGAGGATATTGTTTCCATTGATTTATGGAGAGAGTGGAAGAGAGGGAGGAGGAGGAGAAAGAGAGAGAAACATCAGTGTGAAAGAAACACATTGACTGGTTGCCTTCCACACATACCCCTACAGCGGCTGGGGAGCCTGCTTCTGAGGTATGTGTCCTGGACTGGGAATGGAACCAAAGATCCTTTGGTTCATGGACCAATGCTCTAACCACTGAACATACTGGCCAGGGCTAAGCTTTTTTTTTTTTTTTTTTTTTTTTTTATTGACTCCAACCCCTTCTCAAATACAGTAAATCTGTATATACATATGTTGTTTTCTAGTCCAGAAGTTTTTTTTTCCTATTAGATCAATACTGATTATCTGTATGCTAGCTCTCTGATATTTGTCTGCTATATCCATCATATTTTTCTCTCATCATTTTCATGTCTCTGTCCTTATACCCTTCCATTTGAAAGAGAAACCGTGTTGGCCAGCATTCTTTTTTTTTTTTTTTTTTAATATATTTTATTGATTTTTTACAGAGAGGAAGGGAGAGAGATAGAGAGCTAGAAACGTCGATGAGAGAGAAACATCGACCAGCTGCCTTTTGCACACCCCCTACGGGAGATGTGCCCACAACCAATGTACATGCCCTTGACCGGAATCGAACCCGGGATCCCTCAGTCCGAAGGCCGACGCTCTACCACTGAGCCAAACCGGTTTCGGCAGCATTCTTCTTGTCTGTCAGGAAGACAGTTGGATGACTGGAAACTTGATTAGTGTGCATTCAGGTGTCTGAGTCAGGGAATGCAAAGAAGGGGAATCGCAGTCACGAATTCAAACTCAGAGAGGTTGTTCTTTGTCCCAATCCATTTGCCTTAGAAGTTCTTTTCTTTCTTTCTTCCTTCCTTCCTTCCTTCCTTCCTTCCTTCCTTCCTTCCTTCCTTCCTTCCTTCCTTCCTTTCTTTTTCTTTATTTTTTGATGCAATAGTATGTCTTTATTCTTAGCTTTCAGGACGTTTGGTGGGTTTTGCATCTTTTTCTATATTTTCCTAAGTAATTTGAATAAATGGATCCACTAGATGTGAGTCATAACCAGGTGCACAGCCACCCTAACTTTTGTGAAGCTAGTCAGAATAAGCATTCTTTTTATTAAGACCCTGGAAGCAGAGGATGGGGACTCGTGTGAAGCCTTCTCTTCCCCTCTCCTGCCCTCTAGACTGTGGGTAGAATAATCTTCACAGACGGGTGTTGTGGGGAGCCTTTGGTACAGGATGTGGAGGATGCAATAGGGTGTGTTAAAACCCATTCTGGCCTCCTGAGCATCAGTGGGACTCCATTGTTATTTGTAAGAGGAGGATCCAAAGAATTCTGGATCTGAAAACCTTCCCCAAAACAGGGGCCCCTCCCCCACTCTCCTGGCTTTGTCTGGGGGCCTTATATATTTGGTATGCCTCTGTTCTTGCTGCTTGGGTGAAGCAAATAGGCAATTTCTTATCAGGGTGATGCACAAAGAGGAGGAAGGGGTCCCAGACTGGTCCATTTGAATTAGAAATTGTTGACTGGGGAGTTTTTTTTTTTTTTATTATTGTTCTTGCCTGTTGAACTGGATCTTTGGACCACTTCTGTCCCTGTCAGCTACTGGACACATGCCCTGGAGGTATGCCACCCTTTTGAGTGCATTTTCCTGACATGGGTGTTTGAGGCTTGCCGTGCTTGCTTTATGTTGGGCCAATAGAACCTAGTCCACTCTCATCTTCACACACCATCTCATTATTTCAACTAATGGCAGATTTGTCCAAGACATAGATCACACTGTGGAGTAGAGAGGCTTCTAGAGATGGCAGAAGTTCCCAAAGAGCATTTTAATCCATTAAACTTTTTAATGGGATGCTGGGAGAGGCAGCATCAGGAGGCTCCCAGCCAGATGTCATTTTAAGTCAGAATACTTTCCTATTGATTCTCTTATTGGTTCCTGGACACTGACAAATCGGAGTTGGGGCTCAGACACTCTCTTTTGCCTTCTGGAGGCCTGTAGACAGCCGTGGCTAATGAGACAGGCGGGACGTCAACTCCTAGACCCTGTGGGTGCCCTGAGGACAAGACTGTCAGACCCTCTAGGTCCATTTTCAAGTCCCTTTCACAGCCCCCACATCCCCAAGAGAAACCATAAGAACCAAAAGACACATCTAGAGGGGAGCGGACAAGGCCTACTAAGGCCTGAAGCCCTTCAGCCAAACACAGCCACACTGACTTCCGGAAGGTTATGATTTATCAGAAAAAGTTGAGGAATTTGTTTCCTGGATGACTTTGCTGTTCTATTTGCCGTGTTTCCAAATCAGAGAAAAAGTTATATTGCATAGTATAATTAAAATAGTATAATAATAGCAAGTCGTGATTTTTTTTTTTTTTTTTTTTTTTTTTATGTATGTGGATTTTCCCCTTATCTTGGTATTCCAGAAATGTTGTCAGGAAGCATACAATTTTCTTCATGAAAATTAACTAATGAAATATACCTGTCTTTGAACTCTGAAATTTATTCTTGCTTTTATTTAATGCCCATCTTTAGGATTTAGGGTAAGCTTGTCTTTCTGAGAACCCTTCATTCTGTGACCTTAAGCAATACCATTCTTACCCAAGTAAGCAGAGGACTTTGGGATTTCCCCCCCTGGGTAAAGGTGAAAGAATATTGAATTCCCTGCCTGTTGAAGTATCTCATGCAGTTGGAGTGCCAGTGAGAATTTGGAAAGAACTAGGGCTAGGAAGGAGGGGCAGATGGGCACCCCTGACCCTGAGAGCTACCGTGTCCCCACCCTCTCCCGGTGCAGACTTCTCCATGATGACTCCCATCAATGACCTCCACACAGCCGACCCCTTGAACCTGGCCAAGGGGGAGCGGCTCATGCGGTGCAAGATCAGCAGTGTCTACCGACTCCTGGACCTGTATGGCTGGGCCCAGCTGAGTGACACCTACGTCACGGTGAGGAGAGCGTCTTAGAGGGGGGTGGGCTACTGTGTGTGGCCCCATAAAATCCAAAGGGAGAACTCCTGACTGTTGGCATGGATATGGCATTGCTGGTGGCCTTTGGCCAAAATGCTGAGCCCTTCCAAGGGTTCTAACCACTGCGGTCACCTGAAATAACCTGGCCAATGCACATATCTCTGGATGAGGAGCTAGGAACTCCTGGATCCTATTTCTAGGGCTACCCTTGACCATCAAGAGAATCTTCTTGTAGCTCCATTTCTTTAGTTCCAAATAAAGACCAAGTTCTCTCATGGCTCGAGGTGAGGGTTGGGGAGATAAAGCTTCTTGAGAGGAAGATTTGGGTATAGCAGATTCAGGGAAAGAGTGGATTCAAGCAGAATGTCATTGGAAATGACCCACTCCCTTCTTGCTGCTGAGAACACGTGTCTCTCCTCCAGATGAGAGTCAGCAAGGAGCAGGACCACTTCCTCATTAGCCCTAAGGGAGTTTCCTGCAGTGAAGTCACAGCATCCAGCCTGGTGAGTACAGTCCAGTGTTTCACTGCTTATTTCTATTGAAATGACAGCTCCTACAGTGAAAGGTCATCTCCAAATTATCCACCGCTGTCCTGTCCCTTGTTGAGCTTACAATCTGGTGGGACAAGAAGACACATGGGCACCAAAACAAATGGAGTGTCCAGAGCATGATGCCACCATGAGACCAAATGTGCAGGCAGCAAGTGCAGTAGGAGGAAGAGATGGGCCTGGTCCTCTGAGCCTGGGGTTGTACCACAAAGGCTGTGGGTGGAAAGGCCTTTCTGCACGGGAGATACATTAGAGTGGCAGCCAATGCTTTGTCCCAAAGCAATGCAAGACCCGGCTAGTGCCAGTGCCATTAGAGACAGCTTCTGGACCTCATTCAGCTCTGCTCCTTTACTGTGATAGGAAGAAACTTTCAGAAGCTGATTTTAAGCAAGAAGGATTTACGGGTGTGAGAGGGAAAGCCGGAGAAAGGACTGTAGAAGCAGAAAAGGGCCCATGTTTCTTAGATACGTGAGCTGTTGCACCTGGGGGAGGAGCATGCCACTCAGGTGCTGCCAGGCTTGAGACACTCAGATGTTGAGTCCAGGTCTCTGTTTAAAGAGCACAGACAAAGTCACAGAATTCCTGGGCAGAAATGGGCCTCGGGGTCTGCCAACATCACCTTATAGGCAGGAGAGAGCCCTGGTGCCCAGGGAGGGTAAGTGACTTGCACAGGGCTACCCAAGGAGGCCATGGAAGAGTCAGACAGGGTCCATGAATATAAGGAGGGCACAGATTCTGTCTTTAAGGCATGCACGATTGAGTCAGGAGATGAGGGGAGGCAATCAGTGATTAAACTCCAACTGAACAGCGCCCTGAGACGAAGGAAGCTTGGGGAGCCTAGGGAAGAGGCACCGGCTCACTGGGTGCTGTAGAAGGTAGAGGCGGTGAAGGAGGAACTTCTGGGTTGAAATGGTGATGAAGGAGTCCTCAGGAGCTCACTATGGATAAGCAGCTTCAGACCAGGGCAGCAGGGAAGGGCTGGGCAGAGGGGATCCTGTCCTCAGTAGGAGGATATCATGTACCAAGCTTCAAAGGCTCACCACATCCGAGTGCACTTGGAGGACAGGTGAATGGCTGAGTCTGGCTCCCATAGTTAATGTCTGGAGGTAAGGCAGGGGAGGTGATAGGAACCCGATGATAAATGGCACTGTGTGCCTTTTATGGCACTTCCTCTTTATTCTGCTGGACATGCAGGACCTCTCAAGCATTGTCAGCAGGGAGTGATGCAATCAGGTTTCCATTGTATAAATTGCCCTCTGGCAACTGTGTGGAGGCAAACTGACATCATGACAACCTGTGAGGGCTGTGACAATCAGCCAGGCAGGAAATGTTGGTCCAGCAGCCTTAGTGGGCCTGGCAAACAGCTGGATTGGGGGTGTGGGATTGAGTTTGAGCTGGGGGCATGTTCAGGAAAGAAGTCAGTTGGAATTTGGTTATCCTCGCTCCAAAGAACTATGGCTGAGAGACACAGGTTTGAGAGTCGTGGGCATGAGATGTTCAGGGTGAGTGTGTAGACGTAGTGCTGTTGTGTGTGGTTGTACAGCTCCTGCACTGCACAAGAGGGCGTGGCTGGTGAGAGAGGGAAAGGGTGAAAACCAACCTGTGCACCCCTGGGCTTGTGTTTCAGATTTGCTCAATGGAAGCCATCCACACACCAAGACCTGTGCTGCTGGTGCTGTCCTCAAGAGGGGGCTGTTCTCATTTGGACAAAGGCACTATATGGGATAGTGGCTATTATATTAGGCTGTAGATTCTTTTCTTTTAAATCCTCACCTGAGGATATGTTTTTATTGAGGTTAGAGAGAGAGAAAGAAAACATTAACCTGTTAACCGAGCGGGACCTATAAATACCTCAAACATAAACACTGTCGGGAACGGGTAGGACATATGAATACATCCTTGAAATATATGTTGCGCCCTGAGAGGGACGGTATATATTTTTTGTAATCTTTATAATTGTTTGTAAAATTTATAATTTTTTATATTTTATTGATATTTTACAGAGAGGAAGAGAGAGGATAGAGTTAGAAACATCGATGAGAGAGAATCATCGATCAGCTGCCTCTTGCACAACCCCTACTGGGGATGCGCCCACAACCAAGGTACATGCCTCTGACTGGAATCGAACCCGGGACCTTTCAGTCCGCAGGCCGATGCTCTATCCACTGAGCCAAACCAGTTTAGGCTATAATTTTTTAATTTGATGTTTCCATTTTTTTTGTTGGTATTCTTTTCTAATTGTTTGTAATTTTGTATTTTCCTTTGTGCTTTATATATAAACAAATATATATATATATATATATATATATATATATTTCATTTATTTTAATTAAGTATAAATAAAAATAATAATAATATAAAATTACGTCCCCTGGGTGTGACGTACTGACACATCCTAGTGAAAGAGTATGCACCCGTTGTACGTTGCATAATTAAAAAGGGAACTCCCCAGTTAACAGGTTAATTGGTTGTCTCTCATATATGCCCCTGTCAGGGATCAAAGCCACACCCTAAGTATGTGCCCTGACTGGGAATCAGCCCCACAACCTTTTGGGGTATAGGATGACAACCTGTGAGGGCTGTGACAATCAGCCAGGCAGGAAATGTTGGTCCAGCAGCCTTAGTGGGCCTGGCAAACAGCTGGATTGGGGGTGTGGGATTGAGTTTGAGCTGGGGGCATGTTCAGGAAAGAAGTCAGTTGGAATTTGGTTATCCTCGGATAACCAAATGATGAAGGAGTCCTCAGGAGCTCACTATGGATAAGCAGCTTCAGACCAGGGCAGCAGGGAAGGGCTGGGCAGAGGGGATCCTGTCCTCAGTAGGAGGATATCATGTACCAAGCTTCAAAGGCTCACCACATCCGAGTGCACTTGGAGGACAGGTGAATGGCTGAGTCTGGCTCACACTCCAATCAACTGAGCCACTCCAATCAACTGAGCCATCTAGCCAAGGAAAGGCTATAGAGATTCTTAAAGTGACAACAGATCACACATCCAAGGCAGATATAAGGATTACATGAGATCAGAGGGAATTTTGAGCAAGCCACATCTCTGAGGAAATGGGGGAGCTGGCTAAAAGGAGGTACCTGAGATGGGAGTGTGGCTGCCACTTCCAGCAGTCAGACCCCTCTGAAGTCATGTTCATTCTGTAGAACTCGCTTAAAATAGAATTTTGTAAGAGGGGATTGTTGAACATCCTTCCAATGGTTCTGCTTAAACAAATGATGTCAATAGCCTGTCCCTTCCCCCCACGAGTCTGTCCCTTCCTTTGGTACCACCTTGTCTGTTGGCCTTTTGGAATGGGGAAGGTGGGAAGCTTGTGGAACTTCCCACTGTGCTGCATTCAGAATGTCATGGTGGTACAATTTCAAGGGCCAAAGCTGTTGTGATTTTTAGAAACTACATTCTAGCTTGTTAATAATGCTAGGGCCCACCTGTTGTCGATGAGTTAGGCTATCCCAGCTGCAGGGAGATTGCACCCTGGGGACCTGAGGGCGTGTTCAGTAAGAGGGGGTTAAGAGGGGACTCATTTCAGGATTTGTGTTTGTGTTGGGTGATTTGGAGAGTGTTCTGAGAAGGAAGTGTTGCCTTAGCTATGATAGTATACTGTCAGATGCAGGGGCGAGTCTGTGTGGCAGGGAAGGGTGAGGGGTGATAGGAGGAATGAAGGAGGCTGAAGCTGCTATTGATAAAGAAGCTCCAGGGTCTCCAGGAGGGAGGTGTCAGTCATTTGTGCTTCTGCAGTGTTGTTTTTGTCTGTGCTTAGACATGAATAAGGAGCAGTCTTTTGTCTTGCTGTGTCACAGTCAAAAGTGACCTTCTCTGATGGTGAAGTTCTGTGAGGTTGTTTGGTTAAGCAGGGGACACCACAGCCTAACTGTGTGCCAGGCCAGCCAGAGCCATCAGCAGTTGTGCACTCGTGCACCCCTCCCCCCACACACTCTCACATGTGAGCCAGTGGTTTTGAACCATGACACCTACTAGCCCCTTCGAATTAAAAGCAGATTATAAAGCTAATGACTAGTTTCTACTTGTCCTTTAAGACCTAGCTTTTGGGTGATTGGTAAATGGTTGTTTATTATATTACTAGAGGCCTGATGCACGAAATTTGTGCAAGAGCAGGCCTTTGCAACCCCAGCTTCATAAGGAATGTTGTCTGGACGGTCGTTCTGTAGTTTGGCCATTCGGTTGGTTTGCATATTACACTTTTATTATTATAGATTCTCTTTATCTTTGTATATGATTTTTTTAAAATTCAAAAGAAAAAGTAAGCAAAAAAAATACAGATGTATTATAGAATTATACATTCGAACCTATACAATTTTATTAGCCAATGTTAATAAAAAATTTAAAAGTTTTTCAAAAGAAAAGGTGCGGATGAGATGTTACTCTCCTGGGAAGGCATCTCTGATTACCCCATTCTGCCAGGATCAAAGATTCCTCCATCTGCTTTTAGAGAATTCTCTGGATGACTCTAGCCCAGCACCTTGCTACTCGAAGTGTGGTCTGTGGACCAGCAGCCCTAGTATCACTCGGTCGCTTGTTAAAGGAGGTGCTCAGCCCCATCCTGGGCCTGCAGAGTCAGAATCAGCATTTTGGCAGGATCTCTGGGTGATTCTGGCGCACAGTGAAGTTTGAGAAACTCTGCTCTAGTGTTTCTTATACTGAATTATATCCCCCAATAGCCTGGGCAGTCACTGGGGCCAGGAGCTGGGTCTCTCTCCCCCCTCACCAAGCACAGCATTGCTCAGGTGTGGTGGATGGATGACCACGAGTGGGTAGCCATGTGTTGCCTTATCTCTGGGGAGGGAAGTGAGGGGCCTGTGGCTGTAAGTATCTCTTCTTCCCTGGCTCAGATCAAGGTGAACATCCTGGGAGAGGTGGTGGAGAAGGGCAGCAGCTGCTTCCCAGTGGACACCACGGGCTTCTGTCTGCACTCGGCCATCTACGCAGCCAGACCTGACGTGCGCTGCATCATCCACCTGCACACGCCGGCCACGGCCGCGGTGAGTGTCGGCCCTCCAGCCAGCATTCCGCTCCCTGAGGCCGGCAGCAGACCCAGGGGACCAGCTTCTCTGAGATGCCCCCTGAGTTAAGACACAAGGCCCCCAAGATAGTAACAATCCCATCATTTAATCTGGAAAGATGTTCTGGAACACACACCAAAGTAAGGACAAGGACCACCCAACGTGGAGCTCCTAATCCTCTCCACCAAACTACAGAGGTCTTGGTTTGGAAAAAGAAGGTTAATATGTGTGGTATCTGTCCCACTGCACCCCCCAACCCTGCCACTTACGCAAACTGGCACCACACACCAGGTGATGCCACCTCTTCAGTCTCTCTATTCAGGGCAGTCCTATTGGCCTGCCCCCCGCTCCAGGCTCTGGTGAGGAGAGATCTCAATAGAAGATAAGATGTAGGAGCCTGGACTTACCCACTTTTCATAGCCCAGGTGGGCTGAGATCTGGGGATGGGGCAAGGAAATGGGAGAAAGTAGTATGAAGACACTTCCCCTGCCCCTCCCCAACCCCCTCTCTGCCCAAGGAGCAGGTTGTTCCCTCAGGGTCTCTGGGTAATTTCTCCACGTATGCTTGGAAAGACAGCAGGCAAGCAGTTTTGGTTGTCTCAACCTTTACCCCATTGTGCCCAGCCCCCAGGCCTCACACCTTAGGGCAGAGCAGGCTTGTTACTGGCCCGTGGTTTTTGGTTTTTGGTTTTTGGTTTTCTCAGCAAAACCCACTCATTTTGAGCAGAGGCCTTCCAGAATTTGGACCAAAACTGGATGATATGCTTGTGCCAAGAGTGCTAAGCCTGGGCGTACTCCTGGGGCAAAATGAGTGAAGGAGGCCAAGAGGCTCTTCAGTCCTCTTGCTTTTAGTTAAAGGCAGAGCGTGGAGCATGGGGTTGCTATAGAGTTTTGACCTGTCCCCTGGCTCTCTTACTGCCTCGTTGCTAGTAAAATGCGGCTTTACAATGGACCTCTCTGTTAATGAGGAGTTGTGGCTGTTTCTGCACTAACCTCAAGGCTGAGAGTCTCCGCCATCCCACTCGGGGGACCCTGAGCCCTGCTTTACCCCAGCTTTCTGCCAACCCTGCCACCCCCTGCCTCTTCCCAGTGTCCTCGAACAAGACCAATGAAGGGGGCTGGCAGCGGTAATGGCTCTCTTGGGTGCATTCTTTGCAGCAATTTTAGAATGCGATTATTGATGTGTTTGCTGTGAACATTGTGATGGAAAGATGTTAGAGGAAGCAGCCAGAAAGCAAGACCCCAGCCAGGTGAAGAGTCAAAGGGCCCCAACCCATCCCCAGAGTAGAGTTGACTGTGCCACCCTGAGGGAAGGTGCTGGGGGAGCTACAGGCGCTAACCTTGTGTTATCTCCCTGAAGGTGTCAGCCATGAAGTCGGGCCTCCTGCCTGTCTCCCACAATGCCCTGCTGGTGGGGGACATGGCCTATTATGACTTCAATGGTGAAATGGAGCAGGAAGCGGATCGGATCAACCTGCAGAAGTGCCTTGGACCCACCTGCAAGGTTTGGCTCAGCTGTTCTGGGAAGATGTTGGGGAAGATTGTCAAAATCTGATGTTATAAGTGATACATGTTTATTGGATGATGTTTAAAAATTATACATAAAAATGAAATAAAATTCTCTCTATTGCACTACCCTGAGAATTCTCTCTATTGCACCAACAGTGAGATGGCCTGTGCTCTAGTTCCCATTCTGCCCGTAATTAGCTGGGAAACTTTTCATTTTTTTAGGCTTTTATTCCTCTCTCACAAAGTCAATGGGTTAGATTAGATGATCACTATGGCCTCACTTATAGAACTGTAGGATCTTATGCCGAAACCGGTTTGGCTCAGTGGATAGAACGTCGGCCTGCAGACTAAAAGGTCTCGGGTTTGATTCCGGTCAAGGGTATGTTCCTTGGTTGTGGGCACATCCCCAGTAGGGGGTGTGCAAGAGGCAGCTGATCGATGATTCTCTCTCATCGATGTTTCTAACTCTCTATCCCTCTCTCTTCCTGTCTGTAAAAAAAATCAATAAAATATATTTAAAAAAAAAAAAAAAAAAGAACTGTAGGATCTTAGAGCTGCCTAGGTCTCACTGAGTTTATGAAGAGGAAAGCCAATGTCCAGAGAGGTCACATGACTGGTCATCAGGGACTCAAGTTCCCCACCTGTTTCTGCAGAGTTATCTCTTAGAGAGCCACCCCCCTTGGGTTTTGACTCCCAGGTTGACTAACTCATAGGGTAAGAAGTTGCTTTTGAGGTTGAATCCTCATATTGAACATCAAATAATTTCATTTACTTTAACACAAATACTAGTTCTTAGACTTTTAAGCTCTCCAAGGCCTAAAACCCCGAAGAGATTTTTGCCCAAAAAAATTGACCAAATTACTTAGTCTCAGTATTGAAAAACATCTGTTTCTTAGGGTGATTATTTAGGGTTAAAATCACCAGTGATTTTACATTTGGATGTTTGTGTAGGGAGAAGAAACAAGGAATTGCAGCCGTGAGTGCTCCGGGATTGATGTGGAAATTGATCTGAATAAAATGAAACTCTCTCCCTCTTAACTAGAAGGCTTACAGTATTAATTGGCAATTTGCTCCTCTACAGATCCTGGTGCTAAGAAACCATGGCGTGGTTGCTCTCGGTGACACTGTGGAGGAGGCGTTTTACAAGATCTTCCACCTGCAGGCTGCATGTGAGATACAGGTGAGCACGTCCTCTGGGGAGCGGCTCTGACAATGGCCTGTGGGCAAAGGCCACCCCTCACCCCCCCCCCCCCCCCGCCCTTAGCTGTGATTCAGGGAGTTTGTGAGCCTAAAGGGCCATCTAAAAGCCTGGCCCTTTGCTTTGCTTTGGCAGCACCTTATTCATCTAAAGTTTCACACTTAGAAGCAATTTTATACCTTAAAAAAAATGTATCATCATTGTCTAACAACCAACACCCAACTCTTGGCGGGGGGGGGGGGGGGGGGGTCATTGTCCAGAATGGAGAGCTGCCTGTGCTCATCATTGGGACTGATAGAAGTTTTTACTATCCTCATATATTGCCAATAGGGGCTTAATCACAAGGAACAACAACAGCCTGTAATTACTGGAATGGAGAGTCTAGGTCAGTGGTCAGCAAACTTGTTAGTCAACAGAGCGGCAAACCATGGCTCACGAGCCGCAGTTTGTTGACCACTGTCCTAGGATATACCTGTTACATCTGACTATGCCCAGTAGACACTATACATGTAAGTTTTCTTTTCTCTCTTCCCTCTCATCCCCTCCCCTCCCTTCTCTCTTCTTCTCTTCCCATTCCTTCCTTCTCTTCTTCTCTTTTCTTTTCTCTCTTTCCTTGTTCTCTCCCTCCCTCCTTCCTTTTGAGGGGGCTAGTTTGCAAAGACTATGAACACAGTGGAGTGTAGGACAAGGTGGAATGCTGACATGGCAGGCTAAGCACCAGGGAACCCCTAAAGGGATGTGCAGGGAGCCCATCATGAAGTTCTTCTAACCAGTGAGAGATGAGGTGAAGGGGGGCTGGTTGTCAGTGGTTAGGGGACCCCTAGAGGAGTTGATAAAGAAGCAGTAGGAAAACAGACATACATCCTATGGCTTTATCAGATCAGTGGTGCTGGATAAGCAGCTCCTTTCAGTGTGGTAAGACGTGAGGGGTGTGTAGGGGACTTTGCACAGCTAACTGAACTCCATCCTCTTCAGCTCTGGGCTGTGTGCCCTTGGGTTGGGGACTCGCCCTCTGTGAGCCTCTGTTTCCTCAACTGCAGGTGGGGGGCCGATAGAGGCCTTGTGAGGACAGCCTTTCAGACAAAGGAGAGGTATTGCTGATGGCATTTGGGGGACTCTATTGACAGCAGAGGAATCTTGCTGCTCCAGGATGAGTCAGTTCTCTGTAGGGCCCTTTTGGTGTCCTGTCGGCCCTCTCGTGGCTGGTCTGGGCAGAGCAACACTTGGGAAGAAGGCTTGCCTTTCTCATGGGAGTTCCAGAGGCATCGCTAGTGAAAGGAACAGTGGTTCCTTTCTCAGTGATTTGTAAAGGAATATGCTGAGGGGATAGTTGTTAAGACACTGATGAAGAGGTGTTAGAGGAGGTTGTGTGAGATTAGCATTTCCCCCCCTCCAAAAAAAAAATCTAACAGTGGTCAGAAGAGAAGAAGGTGGAATATAACTCAGGGCCAAAGTAGTGCTTTCTGATGTGGTGGCCTCCTTGCCCCCTCACTGAAGACACTGGCCCTGAGCTCTGATCCCTGATGGGTGCAGGAACCCAGCAGAGCCTCTGATATGGCCACTTTCCCTACTCCACACCTGAGCTCATTAAGAGTTCCCTACCTGCCTTCTGAAGACGAAGCTGCCATGAAGAACAGTTCTTACCTCTTTGCAAAGACAGCAGCCCTAAGAATGAATGGAGAGAGATGTTCATGTTAACCACGCCCTCCCCCCGTGGTGAAGGGTATCTCTTCCAGGCCCCAGGCCCTCAGAAATGGGCACTGTGCAATTTAGCCAAAGGCAGGATGGCACTGTTGGCAGCTCACTCGCTGCTTCTCTTGGCTCTGCCAGCTGTCACTTTCTTTCCAGTCAAGACTGGTTTGATGTGACCTTGTTTACGTGCATCAAGTGATGGAGCAGATAACCTTGGAAAAGCTCCAGTGGCTTCTTTTCACTGGTGGGGCAGGGAGCCTTCTAGGGGGAGAAATGAAGCTGGAAGGTGTGGAAGGGAGCCCGGAAAGGTTAGCCCAGGAGTTTAAGGCATGAAGATCCCAGGTACTGGCAATTTGCAGATGCTGTTGGGATCCCACCATCGGGCCAGGTCATTTCTGGTTGAACAGCCATCATGGAAATTCTCTTTCCATCGTTGGGTCTAGTTTTCTCCCTCAGTGACTTTAGCAAACAAGCAACTGTGATTGTGGTCATTTTAGTGGTTCAGGACTCAGAGCTTATTTTGTTCTATTGGGACAGTATTCTCTTTGCTCCCCATTAGTTTGAGGTTCCAGGAAACTGGGTCATCTCCAGCTGAGAGAGGCAGCTCCCTCCTGCTTACAGGCAGTGGGGAGAAGCTCGGGCAGTTCTCCATCTGCTACCCATCGCTATGGAAACCAATGGAGGATGCGAGAGGTAGGAGGAGGCAGCTCTTGCAAGGATGTGGGCAGTTCTCTTTTCCCCCATGAATGATGAGTAACCAGGGGATATTGCTTCTCAGCCTTCCATGTTAAAACGTCCTACTTTATTTGTCATAAATACTTATATTACATTCCATATGTACCAGGTGTTATTCTAAGTGCTATACAAATATTACCTTCAATCAACCTCATAAGATAGGTAGTACTATTTGCATTTTATAGGTGAAAAAACAGAGGCACAGAGAGGGCAAATCACTGCCCACATTTACACAGTAAGTAAGTGGCAGAGCCAGGATTCAAACCCAGGCATCCTAGGGCTGAGTCTGTGTTCTTAAACACTCTACTGCCTTGCACCACCTCTTGGGGCAGTAAGGGCTGGTGAGAAAGGTAGGCTGACAGGACCTCTGTCAGGGAGCTGGCGCCTGAGCAAGGTGGGGTCCGGGAGGAACCAGGTAAATTGATCAGCCAGGTGGAATGCACCACCTGTGAGAGCTCGTTCATGTGCTGAGCCTGAGTGCTGGGCATGAGGGACTTGAGAACTAACAAACATGGCAGCAGAGTGTGGAACTGAGACTAGTAGATTTCAGCTCACCGTAACCTGTGTCAACTCACTGTGACCCTCTAACACTTGGGCAGCTGTGTAATAGGTGCCTCCAAAGCATGGAGCTGGCCAGCTTCTCAGGAAATCATACAGTGTCTCTTACTGTTGGTGGGAGGATGGGATAAATGATCTGTAAGGTCTCTATCTTCCCAGGGTTAAAAATAGAGCCTTCCACTGGACACACGTCTTGAATAAAAAGGGTGTGGAAAATTAATGGCATCTCCTTGGGAAGGTGGCCTGGTTGACTGCCAAGAAATCTCAGTTGTCACACTGGTGAATGTAACACTCCAGGGCATGTCTGGACCCTCATGGGATCATAGACCTGTGTTCATCAGTAAGCTGTTTCCTTTCATTTTCAGTAAAAAAAACAAAAACAAAAAAGCAACCGTCACCAAAATTGAAACTCTGAAGGTTTATATAGTAGGAGCTGTGCCTCTGTAATAAGCAGGCTTACACGGAATAGCAAATATTAATTAGAATGCTAGTGTATTGATACATAACACGAAACTCTTGGTTTGGCTACTTTCTGTAGCTGAACTTGCCCAGGAGGCCAAATCAGAACCAATTATATCCGAGTGGCAGATATGAGGAGTAAACAGAATGCACTATTAGATGAGCATGGACTTAGAAATAAGGGAATCAGTTAGATTGATAATATGTTTTAGGATCATCCTAAAATCGCCTGCTGTATACACACACCTCTTGCCCTGATACTCAAAGTCTGCTGCCTGTGACCACCTGTATCATCCCCTCCCCACGGAGCCTTGACAGTGGGACAAACACTCTGAGGCCACCGGTGAACGCTGAGGCCCCCTGCACAGTGTCTGGCTGTGCACCGTCAGCATTCCCTCATCTCCTCTGGGTTTTCTTGACTGGCTGATCCCATGATGGATGACACATTCTTCCTTTGACCTGTTAATTCAGTCCATCAAGCTGCACTCATATTTCATGGCCTGGAAGCCAGCCTATTTCTCTCAAGTGACTTTTTTTTTTTTTTTAATGGGAGATATTTCAAATGCACAGAAAAATGCAGAGAATGATATAATAGCATATACCTGCTATCCATCACTCAGACTTAACAAATATTAACAGCCTTTTTGCTTCAGATCTTTTCCTCTTAAGGTAGGGTGAAATAAAATATCACAGACAAGACTTTACGTCATCGTAAGAGCCCTTTTTAATCCCGTGCTCCCACTTTCCCCAGAAATCATCACAGTCTGAAGTTGGTCTGTAACCCAGGTCACTCTCAGTTTTCTATACTGTTTTATACTTAAGAGTTAGCACTTGCTATGTCCTCTATAATCTCTAAGAAGTGGCATTAAGAAAGGATTTTCTAATAGCTCTTTCCCTGGAATGGGTGCAGGCCCAACAAATTGTGGGTGAAATTTCCTCTGGGAGGAAAATAAACAAATACAGCTCAGCTTCCCAGCCCATTTCTGTTCGTGATCTTCCCTTATCCCCAATCTCGGTTATGCACATGAGCTTAGGTAAGTGTGCAGAGGCGTGTGTGTGTGTGTGTGTGTGTGTGTGTGTGTGTGTGTGTATTTACGTGTGTGTGCACACACACGATTGAGGGCCCTCTACTCTTTGCCTCAGGTGTCCGCTCTGTCCAGCGCTGGGGGCGTGGAGAACCTCATCCTCCTGGAGCAGGAGAAACACCGCCCCCATGAGGTGGGCTCCGTGCAGTGGGCGGGGAGCACCTTCGGGCCCATGCAGAAGAGCCGGCTGGGGGAACACGAGTTCGAGGCCCTCATGAGGATGCTGGACAACTTGGTGAGTCTCCTGCCATGGTCCTCTGAGGCAGGTCTTAGCCCCAGGACCAGTGAAGAGCTATCATTTATTTTTGGTTAGAAAGCTTCCATAGGGCCGAAACCGGTTTGGCTCAGTGGTAGAGCGTCGGTCTGTGGACTGAAAGATCCCAGATTCGATTCCGGTCAAGGGCATGTACATTGGTTGCGGGCACATCCCCAATAGGGGGTGTGCAAGAGGCAGCTGATCGATGACTCTCTCTCATCGACATTTCTAGCTCTCTATCCCTCTCTCTTCCTCTCTGTAAAAAATCAATAAAATATATTTAAAAGAATAAAAGAAAGCTTCCATAAGGAAAAGAGGTCACTTTTCCAAATTAACCAATAAACTCAGTGTAATTCCTTTAAAAACAAGGAATGTGTGAGAATTTAGCAAAATAGCCTTCCAAGTGAAATTCAGAATATCTAGGAAAATCCTATAAAAAAAGAAATTAGGGATGCTCATCCCACCACATGGTAAAGTGTAACTAAACAGAGAAGCAGTAGTGCAGAATGGCCAGGCAAGTCAGTGCGGCAGCTTCGAGAATCCAGAAGTAGATCCCAAGCATACGCGTTTGACACAGGGCAAGCAGGTATCTCAGAAAGCAGAGGGAAAACCTAGACTGCTAGCAACTTGGAGAAGAAAACTTAGGTGGATTGCTACCACCTTCCTTTCAACAAGACAAATCCCCGATTTATCAAAAATTAAAACATAAAAAACTCCCTACAGGTATTAAAAAACAGATTAATATTTGTGATGCCCTTGTACTGAGCAGACTTTGTCAAGCATGGCAGTAAAGTCTGAAGTCATGATGACAAGTACTGACTATTATAATTACATTAAAATTAAAACTTTGCATTTTTAAACCACTCCCCCCAGAGCTACAAGACAAACTACGGGGTAAATATCTGCAACACCAGTGATGGTCGATGCACTGTAAAAAGTTAATACAAATCAGTGTGAAAAAGAAAAAAACATCTCAATAGAAAAATGAAGCAAGAACACAAACAATTTACAAAGGAAGAGATTCGAGAGGCCATTAAATGTAATTGGAAACATCCGGATTTACTAGTAATCCAAAAAAGAGCAAAACAGAGTTAGAGAAGACAGTCAGAGCTAAGAATTGCTCCGTTGGCCACCAAGGCTCCCGGATTTTCGTTCTCACTGAGCGGCACTCATTCTGCCTTCATGGGACATGGTCTTGCTTGGGAGACAGGAACGTCCCATAGTCAGATTCCGGGGTTCCAAGAGGAAAATGGTTAAGGAGCCGTACAGCTGAGGAAGGGAGGGCTGATTGTCAGAATCTGCTGGGAAACTTAAAAATCCTGTCGCCGGGATGGGAACACATCCAACGAGACGGGCAGGGCTGAGGTGGGCCCAGCATCAGCATTTTTAAAGCTCCCACGTGGTTCCAACATGCAGCTAGGCTTGGGGCCCGCTGCAGCAGCCACAGAGTTGGAGCTGGGTTTAGGTCAGGAGTCCTGTCACGCTCACAAGGTTCCAGGAGTCTTCTCAGCCCTGATCAGAGGACTCACTGGGGTGGAGGAAGGAAGCGGTTGAAGAACCAAGAAAGGACCAATTCCAAGACCCACCAGAGAAGCAGCGAGGTCCAGGCTGTGCTGTGGAGACTTAGGTTTAAGCCGGGTCTTCAGATAGAAGGGGGTGAAGTGCTTCGGGGGAGGGGCTGTGGGTAGGCACGCAGGTGCATGCAGACCATTTTCCCCACATGAGGTGGTTCTCTTTTGGTCCTTTCTAGGGCTACAGAACAGGCTACACATACCGCCACCCCTTCGTTCAAGAGAAAACCAAACACAAAAGTGAGGTGGAGATTCCGGCCACAGTCACAGCCTTCGTGTTCGAGGAGGACGGCACCCCGGTGCCCGCCCTGCGGCAGCACGCCCAGAAGCAGCAAAAGGAGAAGACCCGCTGGCTCAACACGCCCAACACCTACCTGCGGGTCAACGTGGCTGACGAGGTCCAGAGGAGCATGGGCACCCCCCGGCCCAAGACCACAGTAAGGCGGGCAGAGGGGGCCCTGCTAGGGGAGGTGGGTGCGGGGGGAGTGCCCGGTTACATCTATGGGCTTTGCAGCTTTAAAGTAGGGGAACAGAACAGGTCTCCCCAGGGCACGTGTGAGTACAAGCCCCCCTTAGGGTTTCCCATCGGGAGCAGTTGTTCGTGCCCATGGAGCCTCTGATCACTTGTTTCTTGCACCTCTGCACTGAGTTTTGGGGTCCAGAGGATGGCTGGGCCAGATCACCCCCAGCAGCACAAAAGCGAGGAGCAATTCATTTTTGCTTCTTGCTCCCACATCAAGAAGGGAATTCTGGGAAGTTCAAGGATGAGCGTCCGACATTTGAGGTGCACATCTGATACAAACACAGTAGGTGGGTGGGGTATTAATTTCCATTATGTTGTCCTCCCCACCACACACACATCCTCTTTTTTTTAAAAAAAATATATATTTTATTGATTTTTTACAGAGGAAGGGAGATGAAGAGAGAATTAGAAACATCCAATGAGAGAGAAACATCAATCAGCTGCCTCTTGCACGTCCCTTACTGGGGATGTGCCCACAACCAACGTACATGCCCTTGACTGGAATCAAACCTGGGACCCTTGAGTCCGCAGATCAATGCTCTATCCACTGAGCCAAACCGGTTAGGGCCACATCTTAACTCTTAATTTGGTTTTTCATTAGCATCAAAGTATCTGGCAGCCAAATAGAATAGCTTTTAATTTAAAAAAAAGAAAGAAAGAAAGAAAGAAAGAAAGAAAGAAAGAAAGAAAGAAAGAAAGAAGGAAAGAAGGAAGGAAGGAAAGAAAGAAGGAAGGAAAGAAAGAAAGAAGCCCTGCAAATTAACATGGAGTCATCTAATGCGCAAGTTCCAGGGCCACCTGCCTGTCAGCGCTGGTTACCAAGGGGCTGACCCCTACTCTTACGTGTTCTTTATGGCTCTTGACTTGGGGCCTTCTTTGCCCTCTTTCTTGGGAGACAGATGTCACAGAGGGGAGATAACGTATGCATAAGCTTGCTGGCCTTCCATGTAGGCCGGTGGGCCCAGATCCCATGGGGCGGACCCCTGGGGAGGGCACGTGAGCCTTATTCTTTGCTCACCCGCCCCGGCCTTGTGTGTGTTCAGTGGATGAAGGCTGACGAGGTGGAGAAATCCAGCAGTGGCATGCCAATACGGATCGAAAACCCAAACCAATTTGTGCCTCTCTATACCGACCCCCAAGAAGTGCTGGACATGCGGAACAAGGTAGGGTGCCAGCTAGTTGTCTCTCCGTCTCTTCTCCCTCAAGAGTGGGGGTGGGGTGAGGATGCTCCTGACTTACCAACACCCCTCATGCCTCTCACAGGGAAGAAACTGCTGCTTGTTGGCTCTGTCCCAGGCACTGAGCCGAGTGCTGTACTTAGGCGGCCCTGCCGGACCCTCTTACAGGAGAGCTGCTTCCTCAGGCATTAGATGTGTCTAAGAGATCTGCCCACAAATTTAATTTTTATCAAGTTTATACTATTTATGCTGTCATCCTTTTGGCCAAGATTTCAAAACCCTTGGCATTGATTTCCCCACCTTTGCGTTACAGTTCACTTGCATTCCTAATGGCTCTTTAAGAACTGCAGTTGTGGCTGACCATCTCCAGTAGGTCAGATACAGTCTCACACCTGTGTCTCAGTGTGTGGGTGAGGCCTCTCAGCAGTGCTTGTCTAAAATACAGATTCCTGGGTCACCCCCCACCCCCACCCCCAAGAGATTCAGATCCTGTAGGTGTGGGCTGGCCCCAGGATTCTGCATTTTAAACAAATCTCTTAGGGGCTTCATAGGAATATTAAAATTTGAGAATCTCCCTCCAGAGTTGAATATGGCTCCTTTTCCTCTTCACTTCCTACAGTTACCCTCTCTGAGTCAATGAGCCGGGTGTTGTAGCTAACCTGCTGAAACAGACAAGGAGACTGTGTCAGGGTGGACAGGCTGTGTTAGAAATAGGGGATTCAGGCTCCCACACAGCTAGAGGACCTGTTTAGACCTAACACCACTGGACACTGGACGCCGTATGCCCTGGGGATGCCCCTCCCAAACCCTCCAGCCTGACTGCACCCTGAGCTCCTCTCCCCCTCCCTCTCCACACAGATTCGAGAACAAAACCGACAAGATGTGAAGTCAGCAGGGCCCCAGTCCCAGCTCCTGGCGAGCGTCATCGCCGACAAGAGCAGAAGCCCGGTACAGCAGAGGCAGCCCCTGTCTGGAGGGGAGACGCGTTTGCCTTCCGAGCCTTCGGTGCCCGGGGCTGGGCAGCAGGACCTCTGAGTCCTCATGCCCACTCCCCTGGGATCTTGGGTGCTGGTGCGCTTGCTGCCAAACAGATGCTGTGAGGACCAGGGACAGTGTGTGCCCCACCCTGTGGGCCTTGGGTGGGGCAGCAACTGCCCGGCCTGCTGACGTCCATGCTTCCCCATGGAGCTCCGCTCTGCCCTCTGTCTGTACCTTGCAAAGTGGGGATCACAGAAAGGTGGCTGGCAGCTCCCAGACCTGCCTGCCCTGAGCTTTTCTGGCCTCTGCATGGATAGGGCATCGTGAGAGTGTAGCTTTGGGACGATGCTCATGTGCTCTCAGAGGGGAGGCGTGTCCAGACGGACCAGGGCTCCTACAGAAGGGAGGAGGCAGGAAGTTGCTCACACACCCACGTAGAGTGAGAAAGTCATTTCCATGCTTGAGGTAGAACAGTGTTTGTCTAGTGCTTAGCAAAAGGGGTGAAGGTCAGAATTCTGGCTCGTGTTGGAAATCATCGCTGCTCACTGCAAACTAGCGGTGGGCACGGCGTCTTCCTTAGCAGGAAGAAAGGGGGAAATACAGGCATCATTCCTCCCTGCTGAGCAAACAGGCGAGGCAATGATTTCTGACCGGGCTGCAGTCCGTAAGGGGGGTGCCCATTGGCAAAAATGGGAAAGTTACGTCATCATAGCATCTCCATCCCTCCTCCCCCCTCAACTCAGCCAACATGAGAAACACCAAATGTGCCACAGGGTCGAGGATAGAAATATTGCATGACACTGCGGGGAGGTGAGAGTTTAAGACAATGAGCAACATTGTGAAAAACGCTGCCATTTATATGAAGTGCTCTCCATGAAGTCCCTCTTCTTGGAATCCTGGCCTGGCCTCTCTTTTGAACCTCATGATTCCATAAGAGTGGCCAGAGCTGCCCTCTGTTGGAAGGAGCTCAGGAGAAGGATGACCTGACGTGCGTGGTGCAGGCCAGCTAGCTGCTCAGGACTCCCCTCCCCTGGGCTTCCCTTCCTTTAGCTCCTCTGCGTCCCAGCATTGCAGTCACGAAGGCCAAGGTGAGGACGCTGGATTAGGAGAAAGGAGTGCGGAGCCTGGACTTCAGTCCCTGTCCTGAGCTAGAGGGGTCAAAGGGTTCCAGAAGCTTACACAAGCTTACCCAGCTGGTGAGCTCCCCAGAGCAAGGGGCTCCCCAGAGGTGGCGAAGCAGTGCTTTTGCCAATGTCCCCATAGGGACCTCAGTACAGGCCATTGAAGATGTGAGACTCAGGACCTTGGTCCCCCTGTCCTTTATGACTGTGTGCAAACCAGGACCAACACTTTGGACCGAGAACGCTGAAGCCGCTATGTTTCACTGCTGGGTGCTGCCACTTGTGCTGCTTTGCGGGGGGAGGAGGGGAGTGGGGAGGGCAGGAAGGTGGGAACAGCTGGCATGAAGTGGGTTGGGCCAAGCTTTGCTTGCTGGATTTGGCTGACTGACTTTGGGCCGCTGACTGTACTTGCATAGGGATGGCTTGCAAGCGTCCACAGGAACGATTGCAATAAAGGCGTGTCTTCCTTCTGCTTGGGAGCATCCTTTGCTTTTATTTCCTGGGAAGAGGGTGGATCCCCTGCATTCGTCTAGGCAGCGACAAAGAATCTGGGTCTGGGGGTGAGGTAGCTGTAGGGAGGAGTGAACAAGTCCTACCCTGAGGTCCGGTGCTGTTTCCAAGGAGCTGCATGCCACGCTGCCCCTAGCCAGACCACTGGCAGCCACAGGAGTCTGGAAGAAAGCTGTGGCCCGGGCCCCAGCCCCGGCGTTCAGAGAGCAACACACACTCTGTGGTTAACTTTCAGTCTACAGATAGCCAGCTGATGGCCCAGGGCGACACGGACACCAAAGATGAGTCAGAAGAGACGGTGCCCAACCCCTTCAGCCAACTCACTGACCAGGAGCTGGAGGAATACAAGAAAGAGGTGGAGAGGAAGAAACTAGAACTGGAAGGTAAAAAGCCCAGTGCTTCAGGCTCTTCCAGGCAGAGGGGAAGGGAGAGCTTGGGGAAGCCCGGAGAGGGAGCAGAGCAACTGGCAGCCCTGGAACCCAGGCCTCACCCCACCCCCCACCCCTATCTTCCACCCCCACAGGGCCCTGGGCTCAATCTAGCCTCTGGTTTCATTTTCAATCCTCACTTGATTCTCTTTCTTTCTTCTCATCATATCCTCAACTTGATCTGCCTGCCCAATCACCAATAATATTCTTATTAGCATTACTATTAATCACAATAATGACCCTCATTGTTCAATGCCTAACAGTTACACAGTGTCTTCAGGACTTCATCCGACCCTCTCAGCTGGGTGGAGAGAGAGAATCCTTGTAGAATGCTTAGAATAGTAGTGCCTGTGGATACGGCATAGATTTATAACCACCAGAAATTTGTTAGCTATAATAGATCATTAAAACGGTGGCAATTGTCAATTCTCTTTCAGATCTGGCATTAACTTTTTAGGCAATCAGAACTCTCCAATAGCTGACTTCTTTCTGTCTTTCGCTCCTCCCCTCCACCCCCCCAAATCTTTAGTTAAGCCCAACTCTCTCTGTTGACTCCCAGATAGATGTCCATTCTCATGCTAATTTGTATGCCCTTGTCCATGCCCTTGTCCCTTCCTGGCAGGCTGTCCTTCCAGGCCAGCCTCATCCAAAGTTATCTACACTTCAGGCTCCATCTCAAACTCCCTCCTGCTAGGAAGCCTGCTCTGCCTCTCCCCATCCCCCACCCTGAGCTGTCCCTTTTCTCTGCTTCAGTGGCACTTAGGATCTAAAACCCAGAACTCAAGTCTTGGTTTTGTCCACCAGCTAAGCTTTCATTCCCTCGGGTACAGTCTTCCTCCATGGTCTCCCCACCCAGCGTCAGACATCTTTCCGGGAGCCTCGCAGGCACCAGAAAGACCTCGCTGGCTTGCTCAGAGTTCTAATGTGTCAACTGAAAAAGAAGGTGGAAAAATATGGTGCTTTCTAACCCTAGGCATTGTTTGCACTGAACTTGTAAATTCAATAAATAAAAATGAGCTACATGGCACCCAATCATGGTGGGAACTCCGGCAGCTTGCTGTCTATGCCAGGGCAACATAGCCAATAGGTGGGTATGCTTTGATGGAGGAAGCAGAAGATGACTTGACTCCCCCAGGATGTAGCAGAAATAAAAGGCTAGGAGAGCAGCGAACTCCAGCTGAGAGAAATGAGGACCAAGTAGAAGAAAGCCATTTTTTAAACATTCTCTCTCTATATCTTTATCTCTATTTCTATCTCCATTTCTCCATCTTTCCTCTGCTTGACCCCTATCCTGAGATGGTTTCTGTATTTTCAGGAGAGAAGGAAACCACTGCCGAGGAGCCTGGCTCACCTGTAAAGTCTGCACCTGCGTCTCCAGCACAGAGTCCAGTAAAGTCGGAGACAAAGAGCCCCGTGGTCTCTCCTTCCAAGTCTTTAGGCGGTGAGTCAGTTGAGCAGCAGGATCTGCATGGAAGGCAGGCAGGCATGCACTCTACAGGCACCTGCCTTCCAACAGGTGTTGCCTCCCTACCCGGAAAGCTTTCCCCTCTGCCATTTCTAGGGAATCTGAAATAGGGGTTACTAACGGAAGCTTGCTCCATTCACAAGCTGTGACTATTCAGCTTCCAGTTTAAGCAATAGTGAATCAAGTTCATCCCTGACTCAGCCTTCCCACTTCTAACTCAGACTGGGTTGGCAATGGGCCTCTCTAGATGCACCAGCCCAGGGCTCAGACCTTCATGTGCCCAGGGATCCTCTAGGGATCTTGTGAAAACGAAGATCCTGGTGCAGCAAAGCTGGGGTGGGCCCTGAGACTCTGCATTTTCAAGGAGCTCCTAGGTGAGGCTGATGAGATCATTTTCAACCTTGACTGCACTTAGGAATCACGGGAGTTATGGGGAACTTGAACATTCCTGATGCCTGCCTGGGTCCCAATCTAGGTTCTGAGTTAAATAGTTTGGGGGTGGGAAGGAGGGAAGCCTGGGATATGAAGGTCCCCCAGGTGAATCTAATGTGTAGCCCAGGTTGAGAACCACTTCACTAGCTACTAGTTTAGAGAAGTGAGCTCTAAACCCAACTCCAATGCTAACTAATAATAATTCAACTACTAATTTTAGAAAATCAGATCATCTCTATGCCTCAGTCTCCTTGTCTGTCAAATGGGACTACTATTTTCCTTTTCTAAGGTTCTCATATATAAGGGAAGTTGCAGACATGATTTACATGTAACATTTAATTGTGGTTAACTAAATATGATTAATAATATATATAACAGATAATAATAGTATTACAGTCCATACCACCTAGGCTATCAAAATGTCTTTAATGAGCTCCCAGAATCACACCTGGGCATGCACACTCTTCCCTGAACCCCCAGAGTCCTCACCAGAGAGGGCTGGACCTCCATGCAGGGAGTAGCAGCTTGGTGGCCAGCTGGAATCTGCTCCCTCCCGGGTAGAATGTCCACATTATGGAAGCTGTTAAAATGCCCCAACCCCTTAGTACCCTCTATAGGCAGATTGCTGCTCAAGTGTAGGCCCAGGGTTGCCAGAGGAAACCCATCTGCTTGAGGCCAGTGTCCCAAGTGGATGTTCCCCAACTGTTTGTGTTTGTTGTGTCTCATCGTGGTGTTGTCAACCTGTCTCCACCATGTCTTCCTTTCTCTCCCCATGTGTGCCTTCATCAAAGGAGTTTCCTCCGATTCTGAATACTTGTCTCTGTAGTAAGTATAGAGAGGCTGCTTACTAACTCACTCCACACTTGCAATGGGGGAGGGAGGACTTTTCAAAATAAATCTATTCCCACCCCACCCCACCCCACCCCCTTTTTTTTTTTTTTTTTTTTTGCAACTCACAACCCTGCCTTTGGGAGGTTTCTGGGCTATAAAATTCATGACCAGTTTCATATGTCCTCTGCATAAATAAGACTTCCCTGAAGGATATACATACATAGGACACATATGCAAAAACACACACCTATACTTATACAGAGCATGCCACCCAGAAAAAAAAACAGCCCCCACAGTGAATGGGCAGTGGTGTCAGCTCCTGGCCATTCCATGTAGCAGATAGGGTGCTTTGGCCCTCAGAAGTACATCTATGTTCCTGTTCTGGATGCATGGCACCTCTAAGGAGTCATGGCCTCTTTTGGGTTATGGGCCAGAGTCTGCATGACTCTATGGACTCTTAGGGATACATAGAGCACCTGGGCTTGACTTCTATCTTCAGCATCCCTCAGGGCATGCATACCTTCTGTCTTTGTCTCTTTCTATGTGCTTGTAGGCTATCTGTGTTTCCATCAGGGTAGTCAAAATTTATACATTTTGGCTCTGGCCTCCCCAACTTATAAAAGCAGATGCTGCTAGGCTTTTTCAAGTCTTCTGCGAGAGGCTGGCTCAATGGCACTTTCTCTACATTCTGTTGGTTACTGCAAGCTACAACCAGCCCAGTAGTAGTGTGGAAAAGGACCACACTCAAGTGTGGGCTCTTCAAAAAAGATAAATGGCATGCAAGTGTAGAATGAATATATTGGCAGTAGGTTTAGAGAAGGGCAAGATCATTGTCAAATGTTAAGAGGGGCCTGAGCTTGACCTTGGGACAATGTATACTTGACTGGAGGATAGGAGTAGAGTGGTGTATCCAGGGGTTGTGGTTGGAAAGCTGGGGAAGTGAACATCCTGGGAGAGATATTAGAAGATCAAGAGACAATGAGTGGTTGGAAGCTGAGGGATGGTTAGAAATCAGGTGTGAGAGATGGAATGTCCAAACACGCTCAGGACCTATAGAAGCACCTCTTTCCCTCCTCTCCAAGCCTTTCAGCCCTTTGTCTCCGCATTCACAGGGGTCTGGATGTGGACCTTGGCTTCCAAATTGGGTCTTATTCCAAATTACCCACTCTCTGGATCTCTCTTCCCCATCTCTGCTTCCTGGGGACACCATCCTTGGACCGAGCCTCCAGTTTTCAGCCTCTGCTGCACTCCACCACCCTCACATCTGTCTCCTACTCCCCGAACTCTAAATATCTCACCCAAGAGAGAAAGCCAGTGATTGTTGTTAAGGGATATTAGAAGACAAGCTCTTATCTGCCCCTCCGTCTTGGGGCTCTTCCCAGCCTGGTCCTCAATTCACTGAAGACCAATTGAGAGCTCTGTGTAGTTTCACCTTTAACTCTTTGGAGATGTTAACGGAGGAGGAGTCTAGGCTCTCAGATTTGGTCCTTGATACTTTCCAGGAGCCCAGTAAATGCTTATTTCTGGAGCCCTAGCCTGTTGCATCTTCTCTTGGCCAACCAAACTCTCCAATGGTCTCTGTCCCTTGTAGCTAAGGGACTGCAGACCTCACTTTGAAGCCTGGCTCCTCCAAGGCCCACTGTGCCTCCATTAGCCCTCTTTCATTTACTGTTCCTTCCCTAAACAATAGATAATGTGGGGGCCCTGAGATCCTGATGGGTGCACTTGTCATGGCCTCATTTTCTGGAGAGTGAGAAGTTTGAGTGCCACTCTCCTAATGCAAGACACAGACCAGGGGCTGAGGCTATAGATGAGGTGGCCAGTAAGGTGGGTATGGGTGAAGGGCATCGATGAAGGGCACTGTTAGGCTGAGGATACCCATCCACCAGGGAAGTAAAGCACATGTGGACAGAAAGTGGGAGTCCCTCTTATTCATAGTTATGTTCATGGAGCTGGAAGGCAAGTATCAAAGTCATCTGAGAGGGTCAGGCTTGAGAAACATGTCCTAATGGATCATCAAAAAAAGTGGATTATAGCGAGAAACTGGATTGAAGTTGCAGAACCATGGGAGGACGTGAGCCCAGGAGGAGGAGTGGGGGCAGGGAACTAGATACAGGAGACAAAGACCAGCACTCAGGGCTGCTGTTTGTGCACATGGCTTGGTCCAAATCAGCTTAGAAGTCTCAGGCTGGAACAGAGAAGAAAGAAGATGAGGTACAGTGCTGGCTTAGAATAAAATCTTTCACACATTCATTTGTTAGCTCCTGCATTTGACCATACATGGGTTCTACATTTTTTGAGTACCTTCTATGAACTAATTACATAGATAATTTAGATACCACCTTGCCCTAATTTATTTCACTTGTGAGGGGAATATAGACATAAAAAAGGAAGTGTGGTTGTTTTACAGTGTCTATGGTGGAAGTTTATATAGTGAGGGAAGAAAAGAGAAAGTGATCAATTCTACTTGGAAATAGGGAGGGGTCAGGAAAGACTTGAAGGAAGAGCTAACACTCAAGTTGATTCATTGTATGGAGTGAAGGTTGGGGGCACACGAGAGAGAAGGTTCTCATAGACAGAGGGAAACAAGGCCAGGGTGACAGAGTGGGGTCAAGGGACCAGAGATTAATAAGGCCGAGTAGCAGGTGAAGTGAGGAGAGTGAACGGGGAGAAGGTTGTGTCTGCTGGTTTGCTGCCAGGTAACTTCTGAGAACTGCCTCTCTTTTAGTAGCAAAGACCTTAGCCATTGCTACTGTCCAACCCACTTTCAGTCATCATATAATTACCGAGTCCCCCAATGCTCTTGACTCCTATATTCTCTACTTCCCTCCTGCCATGGTCTTGTAATTTTCCCTCATGCCTCTCCATCAAGGCATTTCAGAGCCTCAATGGAAGCAGGGTAGAATAAGAGTGGGAGGGAGGAGAAAGGGTCGCAGGAGAGTTTTGTTTATGAGGTCTGAGCAGTTCTGGCCTAGAAGATGGTGCCAATCCTAACAGGCTCCCTTCAGGCAGGTTAAAGAACTGGGGTGCAGAGTGGGGCAATGGCTGCTAGACTGGGCCATTGGTTAATCCTTATCTTAGAAACACAGGGTTCATGTCACTCAGGAATTCCATCCTCCTTCTGTCTACAGGTCCCCAGTCCCTTAGCTACTAAAAGTTCCTCCCTTGTGTAGGAAATAAAATGGGTATGAAAAAATATAATTTCCATATATTTACTGGTGAAACTGTACCAGTTACAATTCTTAGATGCCTCCACTGAGTTGTACAGGACACCGCTCTCCCTGCTCCTGTAGCCTCTGTCCTTGCCTGTGTCTGTTTCCTCTGTCTGTGCCTAGAAAGGCCCCTAGCTGGACCATATTTGGACACCATTCCCTGTTTGCATTTGTCAACAAGAGCCCAGAGTCACTGGCCTGACAAGGGCTTGTTCCCATGGCAGGCCATGTGGAAAGGGTGCAGGCTTGGATGAGAGCCCTGCCTACCATCTTCTCCTACAACATCAGCCTGCTCTTTCAGTGCTCTGGACTTTGTAGAATTGCCTAGAAGAGGTTCTAGAAACCCTAGGTGGAAGCTCTCACCTGGATAACATCTTATGGGTCATGTCTTTTGATCTTTTTCCAGAAGGTGCTAAGGAGACAGAAACAAGCAAAGCCACCACAGAGCCCGAAACAACACAGCCAGAAGGGGTGGTGGTCAACGGGAGGGAGGACGAGCAAACCGCAGAGGAAATTCTCAGCAAAGGCTTGAGCCAGATGACCACCAATGCTGACACGGAAGTCGACACCTCTAAGGACAAAACTGAGTCAGTCACCAGCGGCCCTATGTCCCCAGAGGGCTCACCTTCCAAATCTCCCTCAAAGAAGAAAAAGAAATTCCGAACCCCATCCTTCCTGAAAAAGAGCAAAAAGAAGGAGAAAGTGGAGTCCTGATTCATAGCACCCTGGAGCTCCCATCTGCATCCTCTCTCCCACCTCCCCTTCTCCCATCTCCACCCGTGGAAGCGCAGGGCCAAGGAGGGATAGAGTAGGACCCTGGACCACACTCTGATGGGGAACATAGAGATCGCCCGACCAACCCTTCATTTACAATTGCCCCAGAGAAATCAGGTGACTTTCCCAAGGACACACAGCTAGTTAGTGGCAGAGCCTGCACTAGAATTCAGGTCTCCTGGCTCCCAGTCCAGTGCTCTTTCCACTACCCAACACTGCCTAGTTGTGGGCTGCCTTTGTGAGGGTGCTGCCCACTGAGCTAAACCTCGGGCAAGAGGGCAAGAGTGGGCCACAAGCCCTCACTGGCTCAGACTAAAAATCAGGTCAAGGCTTCCCCTGAACAAGGTCCTTTTCCTCATGGGAACCCAATCTCCTACTGACGGAGTGACCCTATGAAAAAGAGAAGATAAGTTTCTCTTTTTCATAGGGTCCCTGCCTTGCTGCTCACAGTAACCAGACCAACTGACCTGTCCCCTCCACCAGAAGTTAATCTTTGTTCCCAAGGACTGATGGCTTAGCTTGTGCTTCCCCAACCACTAACCTTGAGTTTTCTTCACGGAACCTCCTGAATTACGGATGAAAGAGTTGTAAAAGTTGGCAGACACAGAGCAAGCCAAGCTATCCATGGAATAGGAGATAAGTTAATCAATGTAAGATGCCAGGAGCTCTTGTGTATCTCAGGAGCTTCCAAAGTAAAACCAAATTTAGGTTAGAAAGCAGTTGTCTCATGCTCAGGGCAGACATTTGGGGAACTGTAGGTCCTCTGTTGGCTTTGGGTTATATGATGATGATAAAAAATGCTATCCCTTTCTAGCTTTGCATGACACATGGAGCTCTACCCACCTCACTCTGCCCAGCAGTGGGGTGTCCCCTGACTTTCCCTCAAACCTAGAAGCGCTGGTTTATGGACTAGAACTGGCCTCTTACCCTAGGCACCTTGGCCTTGGGTCATTTGGATTTCAACTCAGTCCCTCTGGTGATGAACCTTTCAGGATTAATCAGAGAGGCTTAGGTGTCCTTGGCCCTGTCACTATATCCACCCTGGAGCCTGGTAATGGCCACAGCTTTTGTTTTAAATGCTAACACTGTCTTTTCATATTCTTCCATGGGGTATTGATTAGTGAGCACTGTTGGCTCCTTAAAAAATAGACAATCCATTCTCTTTAAAGCACAGTGTCTTCAAAGGATATTTTCCCTCTTTGTCCTGATTATTGTAAAAGTATTTTTGAAAGTTCTTAATCATAGTTTTCCATGTTTGAGCACTTACTGTATATAGAGACACTGTGCAGGCTTTATATACATTACATCCTTTAACCCTCATGTAATATGGGTAAAATTAGTCCCATTTTATGGGAAAGGAAATGGAGCCCCCCAAAAGAAAAAAAAATGACATGTTCCAAGTGTCTTGGCTAGAAAGATTCAGAGTCTGGACTTAAATCCAAGTCAGCCTGAGTCCAGAGCCTTTGCTCATAACAGCCATGACGATAAAATCTCTAATCCCTAGGGGTAGTGGTTTTAGTCCAGGCCCCAGTTTTGTGACTGGTTTCCACTGCATAATGTTAGTATTGGAAATGAAGGCAGGAAATAACCTGTATTCACCCTCACCTGTGCATATTAAGTTCCTGGTTGTGGCCAGGCCAGTGGGGACCTCTGACAAAGGAGATACAGGGGATTTCTGGTTGGGGCAGGAAATACCATTCATAGTAGTGCTATTTCTTGAGAAAAAAGAAAACTGACATGACTAAGGCAAACCCAGTGCTGTGTCTCTCCAATGCAGATTCCCAACTGCTACCCCCGTTCTCTTCCCCTGAGACCCCTATGTCCCCCTCCCCCATTCTACTTTCTGATTGGGTCTTGTGATAGACAACCCAATGATCAGGGGCACTGATGCCTCAGCAAAGTCTGTGATATAGGAAATGCCTTTAAAAGCCAATCCTTTGATGCCTTCTTTATAAAAGTAGACTTCACATTCATTCATTGGTCCCTTTACAATGTTTGTTAAGCACCCACTAAACGTCAGGCATTATGCTGACTTGAAAGAAAACAATCATTGTGACTAGAATAATAAGTGGCAAGCAATGTTAAGAAAAGGGTGGCGTGGACACAGCCATTGATGCTTTTTATGATTGAGTGGCTGTAGCTCAGAGATATGTTGATTGACTCTGCATTCAACAGATTCTCTTTATTCCCTTGACAACAGGGAGGCCTCATTCAGATGATTATGCCAGAGCTTGTTGGAATTTGGGCACTGTCCTTGGACTTTATGTCATGGGTCCACCTCATATTTACACATTTTCCCATTCCTTGTGCATTAAAAAAAACACACACATATGAGCTTGGATTATGGGCCAGGCCTGAGGACACCTCATAAGTAAAGGAGGCACATAGACAAGTTACAAACAGGCAAGGGTGCAGAGGTGGCATTGGGAAGCAATGATTTATTGTCCTCTGGGCCAGAGAAACCTTCCTGAGAGGAATAATAGTTGAGTTCGATTTTTAAAACAAAGAGGAATTTCCTAGGGGACAAAAGGGTAGGCAGGCCATTCCAGGATGAGGGAAGGGGATGTGTAAAAGCCCAGAAGCATAAAACTCCATGATGCCCGCATTGAGCACAAGGTGTAAGGTGGGAGGCAGGGATGGGGTGTTCGTCTCACAGGTGGACAGGACTGAATCATAAATTGTAGGAAGTATGGAGGAACTAGACTCTATCATATAAGCGGTTTGGAGCCACTCAGGACTTCTAATCAGGGTAGAGTCATAATCAGCCCAGGATTTTAGGAAACCTTTGGTGGCTGAGTGGAGAATAGACTTAAAGAGGAGTTGGCTGGAGGCACAGACAATCTTCTTATAAAGGGGCCTTTCTGAACGTCCCTACTAAACCATGTTAGGTGACCTGCCTCACACATTTTCCCTTTAAGCAAAAAGTGAGCTTCCAGCACAGAATTCATTTCCATCAAGTGATTTGGATAAGGCATCTTAAGAAAGATTTTCGACAAAAAGAGGGAAATCCTATATAATAAAAGCCTAATATGCAAATCGACTGAATGAAGTACAATTGGTGGAATGATTGGTTGCTATGATGCACACTGACAACTAGGGTGCAGGTGCTCAATGCAGGAGCTACCCCCAATCCGCAGGTCCCAGGCCAGCCAAGGTGGGTGCCAGAGGGGTGCCTTATCTATAGTCCCACTGGTCTCTCTGCATGGCAGCAGGCAGCAGCAGGGCAATCGGAAGGTGGGGTCAGCTGGCGAGCAGGCTGACGCTGCCATATACCCTCCCCCCGCCCAATTACCCCACTGGTCACTTCCCATAGAGGGAAGCAACCAGCAGCGACAGCAGGGGGACAGGCTGGTGAGCAAGTGGTACCAGGCCAGCCAAGGCAGGTGCCAGTGGGCGGGGGGGTGGGGGGGAGGCCCAATTGCCCCTCCAGTCACCCACAGATTGGCCCTGATCACCGGCCAGGCCTAGGGACCATACCAGTGCACAATTTTGTGCACCAGGCCTCTAGTATTCAAATAATTAGCTCAGTTTCCAGTTCTATTTTGGCTTGTGTAAAGTTGCTCTTTCCTTGTCTGTATTGGATGTGGTGTGCTTATCTCCAGGCCTGAGGCTGTGCACTGGATGCTTTTGAAGCAGATGTTCAGTTCAAACAGAACCAAAGGCGTTTAGGGTAACAGGTGGGGACGTTGTCTTTGGCTCTGGTTAAAAGCTGGCTGAAAACTTGGGCCAGAATCTGTTTGGAGAAAAATGTATGTATAGAGAGCTCAGCGTCAGTAGGTAATAGTTCATTTCGAGCTGGATATGCTGCAGAAAAGGAATGAGACGAGGGAACCAGTCTGCTGTGCTGTGGCCTGCTGAGCTGGGAAGTGGAGAGATTTTGAGGCTGTTTCCATGGAAAGATGGGCAGGAGCGGGAGGAGAGCAGAGGGAGGGGTGATACAGAGAGACAAGTGTAGTCCCAGCCACATTCCGTGCACAGTGGTTGGCACCCAGTAGTGCTGTGGGAAAACCATTCACACCCGGTGGTCTTTCCTCAAACTACAAAAAGTGCAGCCAAGATATAGCCACAGCCCAGATCTGGGCTCCAGAGGAGCCCCTTGGCCTGTCGGTGGCCCGAGGACCTGTCCTACTTCAGCCAGGCTATACACAGAGTAACCTTCCTCGGCCCTCCTGTAACAGAAGCAGGGTTCCTCTGCAAACAGATGTTACTCTTGAAGGACTTGGTGTGTTGGATGAACCCCATTGGAAAGCATTATTCCACTGACGTGCATATAACCTGGGCCTGGAGGCCTGCTTCTTGTGTCTAATACTGGATCACTCATTCCCGAATATGGCAATATAGTCTCTCAGCTGATGGCTACCACTTTTGCCAGCAGAGGGCGGGGGGTACTGCTTAGAAAGCCACTTCTCTGATTACGTGAACTTGAAAGAACCATTTGCCCAGGAGCACAATTCACTTTGGAAAGTCTTAAAGATGGAAAAAAAACGTGGGGGTTTTCCAGGCAGATATGCATAGGGATAGATGGACACATGGCCCACATGTTTGCCATCTTTTGCACAAGTGTGACGTGGATGTCCCAGTTCCAGGTCGAGAGTTGTTCCGTTTCTGACTATTGGACAAGTGAGAAAACGCATAGCACCTGTTTCTTTCACTCGGGCCCGCACAGCCCGTGAGCTGGCTGGCACAGCTGCAGCTGACTTTGAGCGTAGAGGAGATAGAGCCCAAGCAAACTGAGACAACAGAACTCAAAGAGCCCGAGAAGAAATGGGAGAGGAGATAAAGCCGTGCTCCGCACACCCACAGAAAGGACAGGGCACCTCACAACTCAAAACCTGCTGGGACATCTTACTGCCAGTGTCCCCTATCTGTCCCAAAAGGGATAATGTAATGTGAGATGAAGTCAGAGGCTTTGAACTAACTCTAATAAAATGTGCTCTTTG